AGATTTTATGGATAAGAGGTCAAACAAACTGAGTTGTTTTTACCAGCTGATTTATTTGACATGATACTTCAATCTGTACCTTTTATAAGTAAGTCAATACTGCACAATTTGCATAAAATATGTCTATAGTGAGCTTGGAAATACACAATTAAGTTTTCCAAAAAGCAGTAGTAACTGTATGGTATGGTACTGGGGGGTTTCTTCAGGGGTTCTGCAAGCACCTACTTTAGGCTCAGGAGCCCTCAACATCTCAAATGAATACTCTGGAAATGAATACAGAATTGCTGCTAATAAAACTTGTGGATGGCATAAAGATAATGAAGAGGACAGAGCATTCGTACACACTGTTCAGGATCATAGAATCATAGAATGGCCTGGGTTGAAAAGGACCTCAAAGATCATCTTGTTTCAACCCCCTGATGGGGGCAGGGTTGCCAACCACTAGATCTTAGCAATCCTGCATCATTCAAACAAAATGTGGTTTTATGCAGTAAAATGTAAAGCAATTCATTTAGCAACATGGAATGAAGCCAAAGTTACAGACCTCACCCCGTTAAAGAACAAGTCTGAAAAACATTATGGCAGTAGAGCAATTCAACATGAACTCAAAAGGTGATTCTGTGATAAAGCACAACCAGTCTTACCTTGGGACTTTTAAACTGGTGATTAGTGAGTAGGTCAAAGGAAGTTATTTTACTGGATACAGAACTGTGGCAGGTAATATTGATTCCAACATCTGTTTTCTGATGTCCATATGTTTAAAGGATATTAACAGCAAAGAGCCTCCAGAAGGAGAGAAAACTTAGTGGTGATGCATGAGCTTAGCGCTTTAGCTTATCAAAAAGAATACTGAAGGGAGTGGATTATAGTACAGAAGTACCTTTGCTGTAGGCAGAAAATAGAAAGGTCCTGCAGTCTAGTGGAGAAAACTGTAATACAAACCAGTGGCTGAAAATTAAGGCTGGGCACATTCAAATCAGAAAATTAAGGGCTTCTTTATTTTTTTATTTTAATAGTGAAAGTGATCAACCACCGGAACACATGACCAAAGGAAGAGGTCATTCTCCATCTCATGACATCTCCAAATCGGGCTGTGCCTCAGCTCAATGCAAATTACTGGCCTCATTACAGATGCAACTGCACAGAATTTAATGGCCTGTGATGCACAGGAGGCTGTACCAGATGATCTAATGATCGCTCTTCACCTTAACCTCTGCGCATCACTGAATAAAAGGAATGAATTCTGGTACTTTAGAAAGGTATTGCAAATTGGGAAGGGATGAACTGGAGCTTTTGGCGTCCAAAGAGAAGTGAAGGATGCTTCTAACAACCAGGAGCTTGTTCAGACTCTAGTAATAACATTAAAGTGCAATAAATGGATTTATTTTTGTATGGATTCCCATTGCTAAATTCTTTCCTACCAGCGATCTTGGAAAACAACATTTCTTTATTTCCTTCTGTGTAAATTTATGCTTTCAAGGCATTCATTAAAGCAAATGAATGCCTTCATTTGCTAGCAAATGAAGCAAATCATATGGAGGTTCCTATTATTATCTGTGGAATATAGTTAATATTAAGCTCAGTTCAAAGTCCACTGAAGTTAGGAGGAGTCTCCACAGACTTTTTGCCATGGAAGTTTTATCAGGTTCAGTGACATTTGGCAGTCACTGTGCAGTTTTCTTGTATCTAGACACAGCAATTAGAATAGACATCAGCTACCTTGGCATAGATTTGTGTGCACACCTGGGAAACCCATCTGCATTGGTTCAAATGCTGCACTCTGTGGGTTGTTTTTTCATAAAGCATACGGAAGCATTTTTTAGATGACATTTAAGAGTCTGTTTCCCATTTCTGGAGAAAACTATGTTTTGCCAAGATTCAGGTTATTCTGTAGATACACCACCTTTTCAATAACCAGGACAATACTGACTTCCATCACAAAGTTCACTTTTGCAATACTAGTACTCAATGATTTGTTTTTTGAATTTATCTGGTTCTCACCAAAACAAGAAACATTATTCTAGAAGACCTGGAGGGAATTCACCCTGTTCAGAAATGCTCGTTTTTGTCTGTCACTCCTGCTTCCCTGCTTCATCACATTTAGCTTGCTACTATTTTATCAAGCTTCCTTGAAAACACCCTGGAGGTATACTTGAAAAGGTGTGTTTAAGCAAAAATCTTGGATGTGCCCTGCTCAGAGCCAGCTCTGCTCCAGCTGATTTCACTGAGAACTGCACATCAAATTTTCTCAATGTCAGTAATTTTTTCTTAAATGTAAGTGGCAGCAATATTGAGTAATGTGCATTAGGGAAACTAGAAAACATATAATAAGGCCGCAGTTCTTCAGCAGATTTCCTATTATTTGGCTGCTTCTATTGTAATATTCTTGTCTATAGCTGATGTGTGAAAAGAAGCATCTACCATTCTATACATGGTACTGGTACACACTTTCCTAGGTAGCACTGTTTAATAATAATAGTAATAATAATATCACAATAATAATTATATGTTCCACAAGCAGAAGAGATTATATATCTACTAGGATGAAGAAGGCATTTACCTAACAGGAAGCTAACTGAGTGAAAACAGAAGAGATTTGAATGAAAACATGTAGATGCAGGACACCTGAAGACAGCATAATATAATAAGATAGCTTTAAAAAATATTTTATTTATTTAACTGGTCTCTGAAACTTTGGAGTTTTCTACTGCAAACCTAGGACATGGATGAGCATTTCATTTTTGATTGTCACTTTCCACCACAATAATCTTCCTAACTCTAAACTATCAAATGCCATCTTAACCATGCCACGCTTCAAACTGTACATTTGTTAATTGTACACCTATAGAAATGCACCATTGATACACTGACTCCTAATGGATATCCTTTTTGATTTGCAGTAACTGGCTGTCAGTAGAGAGCAGATACTTTGGGGGGTTGGGGGGGAAGAGAAGGGGAGCCCACAGACTGGGAAGCTCATCATAAATTAGAAAGTATGTGACTGAGTTCCATGTCCTGATTCTGATACTTCTGTGCCTTGAAGCCGTGCAGAGGATTTCTCTTTAGTGCCTCTGGTCCGCCTTCAGTAGCTCTTCACCATACAGACATGTTGTGAGCATCTTAGATTGGATTGTAATGAGGAACCATATAGAGAGTGAGCTGAGTTAGGTACAAGAGACAGCAGGACAATATCTGCCCTTATTAGGGTACAGATAGTGTCTTGAAAAGCCAGGATGTGGATCCCTGCTGTTAGGATATGAACACAAGGATTATTAAATGAATGGGTGTCATAACAGAAATAATAGCACTGACCTCTAGTTTTCATCAGTCTTAATATTGTTCCCTCATTATAACAGACTATTTACCCTCTGGCCTCATTTTATGCACATGGGAATCAGATTATTGCCTCATAAAACAAAGGAGCAGTGAGATTATCTCTTAAGTAATGGCCCCAAACATACTGTTAGCACAGTGTCACAGGCTGGCACTGTACAGCCAAGGAGCATAACTCCTTTCGTTAGGGCATGGTCCCAGGAATGTGGGCAAGTAGAGCAGGTGGAGCAGGTAGAATTGTCACAGTGTGAGCAAGCACAACTTCCCATCCACCCTCGGAGCAGGCAGTCCTCTATATGTTATCCCTGGAACTTGCCTTACTTCAGAAAACTCGGATCCATTTAGACGTGATAGCTGTTGCTTCTGTGCCAAATTGCTTTATCAGGTTTAGATAGCTGATTTTCCCCCCCCGTCACCCTCCAGTATTTGCTGATAAAATGTTTGCACACTGTTACATGAGGAAATACTGAGCAGTTGACAAAGGAAGAAAGAAGGAGAGAGAAAGAAGAGAAAGAGGAAAAGGGGGAAAAAAGGAGACAAAAACCTTGATAATTAAAAAGCTGGCGTTTTGAAACCAGAATGTCAAACAACTTGATACTGCTGACATTGAACCCTCCCTGTCCTTCATTTTCTTGGTGTTTAAGGCAGGCAGAGAGATCAAGCCAAGGATGTGCAGCCAGACACTTCTGCTGGGGATTCTCATGACTGGCTCCAAGCACGCAGCAGAGACTGAAGGCTAAGGAGACAAGGATCCGTGGATATAATGTCAGCACTGTCTGTGGGTTCATTTCTGCTGCACATTGGCCCCTCTCCTCCTCTGCATTCATTGTTACTATTACTATATCTTGGGGGAGAGACCATCATAAGCTGCATATTTATTAATCCTTCTTACCTGCTTCTCTTTTTGTTCATTCTGTCTAGCTTGAGGAGACAGAAATGCAGTAGCACATCATAGGATTCCTTACACAGCACATTTTTATCCACAAGTGCTCTACTAGGTGAGTGCTAATATTACAATTATCATCCCTGTTTGTCAAATCAGAGCAGTGAGGCTAAGAGATAAGCTCAAGGGCATGTGGCAGGCAGGTGATACAGGGTGGAATTGATCTCACGGTTTCCGTGCAGTGTGTTGGCTATTACATGATGAACCTTTTAATCCAAATAGCCAGGTGGAAAGACATCTCTTGTTCCTAATCACAGATACTGTGATCACCAAAAGGCATCCTTTGAATAGCAGTGCTCTCTAGGAGCTGCAGGTCTCCCTTTGTCAGTGGACAAACCAATGCAGTGTAATAACATCTCTCCAGCAATAGAGTTACTTTTGTATCAGGACTCTTCAGAGCTCCTTCCCATCCACTGCTTCCCACAAAGATTTCTGGACTGGCTGGGTAAGTGGGCTGCAAAAAAAAAAAAGTGTTCTGGGATCAGGAAATAGATGTGTGTTTAGAGAAGGTGACAAAACCTCTGATTCTTAGCAAATTCCATTAAACACCTCTGCCTCCCTGTATGGGAACTATCGAATCACAGCCTGATCCTCTGATTGATCACCTGAGGCAAGCACTGAGTCAGCCATGGGAGCACAGGTGAAGGCAATTCAGCTGTGCTACTGGAATGGGTGGAGCCTGGCTGCATCTCTCCTAGACCCCATTTAAGGGCTGACTGTCATGGGGGAAGGATCTTTCTCTGGGGATTGCTCCTCTTGGAGTCTTTTTCTGTGAGCCCAGGATACAGGTAAGTTTTTTTTCCCATTCGTTTCCAATTATCCTTTTCCACTGTAATGATCTTTCCAGCTATACGCTTTCTGAAGACCAGTCTAACTTCTCTGCATACTTGTCAATTATACATCTGTATACTCATTGATTATACACTCCTAGATCTGGGTTTGACCCCATCCCCCAGGCAGTCAGAGCTTTCCATGATTGCAGACACAGCAGTGAATTTTTTATTTCCCTGAAAGTACCGGTGTCTGCAGAACATCACACTGTTGATTTTTATACCTCAATTTTAGCTTTGTTTATCTTCTGAGAACAGTTATAAAAATAAAATCCAATTTTTTTTTTCTTTTTTTCAAGTGCTGATGAGGATGGGAGTCTGGATGTCTCAGGGATTAGGTAATGGGAGAGAGAGAGAGAGTCTTTGGCTTTAAGTCATCCATTCAATTGCAGCTAGGTCAGACGTGTGTTAGCATTTATACTGTCCGCTATTCTATGTACTAAGAAGTTGGTGGTCTTATTCTGGTGCCTAGCTTGAAAGGAACGTATTGCTTATAATGTGAAGAGGATTTATTAGCAACAAGGCTGAGTATGTGAGCATGGAAAACTATGCGGGCCTGAAACTTTTGGGCTCTGCCAGGATTTCAGATCACTGGGAGATGCTGTGGATAATGCTGACCATGACACATAACTCTTACAGGTAATGGACCTAAGAAAAATGTCTTCTCAAAGGCAGTCATCATCACTTTTAAAGAGGATGAACATTAGTATTGTTTTCCTTTGATAATTGGAAGTTTGAGTAGATTCAAGATCTAACCTACTCCTCTATGGCTTATACCAGTGTGTGAACTCCATGTCATTTTATGTATTATTATTTCCACTGAAGATATTCTGTGGTTTCTTTCTTCCCTTCTGATGTCAGTACAAAATCTATAGTGCAGTATGTGCAGCCACTGTGAGGGCCTCGGACAGTTGTGTGTGGGGAAATGTGAATTGAGAGTAGTATGGGGGAAAAAAAAAACCTTACCTTAATGGTACCTTTGTAACTGATTAGATTTAGTAATGGACTTGCAAATGAAGTTTAAACATTAATCTAAGAGCTCAATTAGGTAAGGTATTATGGTACGGCAGAGATTTCTTCCATTCCCCAAGCAAGTAAAAAAAAAAAAAAAAAAAACCCTTAAAAATGAAGACAAAATCAGCTTCTCTTCTTTCTTGTCTTTTGAGAGGTTTAGCAGAGGTTGTTACTGAATTAATGAAATACTATTGATTCATATATCCGTTCCAATAAGTGAAATGGAAAAGGATATCACTTCTGCTTCCTGCAGCAGTTTCGTATTGCAACTGGCGATAGTATTGAACCTCTATAGGCCTTAACATCTCCAAGAAAAGCAGGTTACATGCTCAGCAGAGAGATACTAGCAAGCCAACTGACTTTTTAGTCTAAACTCATAAGGTTTCACTTTGCGCTAAGAGTCATAAAGCATGCTTTCCATTATGATCTAGTTCCTGCACCCCATAGTGTCTGCTCCCAAACATTCAAATTTAAAGTCGCATTGAACTGCAGTGTTTATAAGGGAATTAAGCACATTATTTAAAGTCAAGTGTGTGCTTTAATATAGCTCTAAATAGAAATGCTTTCCCGAATCCAGAATAGCAGCAAAGACTAATTCCTTCCACTGTAGCCTTGGTTGGCAGTATGGTGGGTTGGATGCCATAGTGTGTGCTGTGCAGCAGGTCGGACAGGATGGTTGGCTGCAGTCCTCCTTCATAGACCTCCAGCCTATGAATTGGACACATCGTCGATCAAACACTGACTTTCCAGATGGACTGTGTCCAGCGCAAGCGAACTGTGTTTAGAATAATAAGAGGGAAATAAAGACAGGCTGGGGTAATTAAACACAGGGGAGATCTTTTTCCATTCAGAGCCCCAGCCATCAATGTTTTGGATAACTTGTTCTATTAAAAAGCTATCTTGCTGTAGTGTATTTGAACAGCCCTTTATTCTGCACTTTCTATTAAGGTTGCTCTAAAATTATTCCACTGAGTATTGCCAGCAGCTCTGAGACCTTTAGCATACAGCATTAAGTAGAAATGAATAAAGACTTGGCTAAAATAACACATGGCGACTCGCTTAAAAGGCGCTGTCAAGACATTTTATACACCTTTCCTTTCACTCTGCTTTGTTTATAATATTCCTCTGAAAAGCCTGGAAATGGCTGATTCCTCCCAGTGGCATTTGGGCGCTTACACTGTGCAAACAGTCTGTCTTCAGTGGTGGTGTGCACATGCCTGGCTTCTGCCTGCTTGTGGCCTGGTGTATGTGGCTGCTGTGCACCAGCAGCAGGGCTGTCTTGCTGAGCACTCCTCACAGTCACGGGATGGAGGCAGCACCTTGAGTGTGGGATTTGTAGACCCTAGAGGAAGACAGCAGTGAGACTTTAATGTCATTTCTTGACTGGTAGTCTGTAGCATTGGTGTTCAGGTACTTGAATGCCCTCATGTTGCACAAACACAGGAGGTGTTGAAGAGTGCAGCTGCCCACTGCAGATCCCCACAACAAAGCTATGCTCAGAGAGAGATGCTTGTCCTAGATGCACTTAGTGAGGCCTCGCAGCCTTCAGCTCCTGTGGGGAAGACAACCTGATGACACCCCTTGTCAGCAGGGTGACAACATTGCTGCTGCCTCAGTTTTCACACCCCACGGCTTCAGCTGGGACCCAGTCATGGGGTGAGTGCAAAGCAGCTCGGTGTCTAAGCTGTCTCCTTCAGTTTAGGGCTGACAGCCTCCACTGCATCACTCTGTGCAAGCTAGAAATTTTCCCTGGGTAGTGCTTTGAAGCAGGAAATTGTTTGCCTTGGGCCCCCCCACCCTCTTGCATTTGGCTGCTTTTGCAGCACATCCATCGCAGCTCCTCCTGCCCCTCTGTTGTTTGGCTGCCTTAGGAGAAGCAGGAATATGGAGCCAAATGACTGCATTAATGATTCAGTTCTCTCTGAGGTAGCACCAGTGCTATGACAGCTCTAATTATGGGAAAAAATGTGTTTAGAAATGTGGGGGCTTTTTATAAGACCCAAGGTCAGATTCTCTCCTGATCTATGCTGGTGTCAGTCAAGAGGATCTCAATGAGCCAGTGAGATCTGGTATAAAATACAGCCTTAGTCCTTTCCAGGTACCTCAACCAAGTGTAGATACCAGTACAGAACAGTTGCTTGTCAGCAGCAAAACCAAAACCATGCTGAAAGTAGCTGCTCAGCTTTTAGAGATCTATCCTCATTAGTGTAGGGGTTCCTCTTCTTCCACTTTCTCCTTACCCAGACCTGGAGCCACCTGCAGTGACAGTGGCAGCGCCCATTGTTGTGAGCAAGATATTAAAATCCAGATGAGGGAACAAAATTGGAGTTTCCCAAAATCAGAAAGTACCAGAGCATCCAAGATTTTCTAGATATGGGGCAGGGAGCAATTCCTTAACCCTTCACACATTACTGAGAGCAATGCTATCTACCATCACTACTTCATCTGCCTTTAAGAAGAAAGGCAACAGCTGTTTAATAGCACTATTTAACACTTCCTCACAGTTTATGACAAAATGGAAAGTGGAAATTGAACTTTTTTCAAAGATCATTGCCACTACTTTACCCACTTTTTCTAATTAATTGTCTGGTACGGTCTCAAGAGACCTTGAAGAACAGCTCTTCCCAAGTAAGTTTGTGTGAAAGCCCTTTTTGACAGCCTTTTTTTTTTTTTTTCTTTTTTCTCCAGATTTGACAAGTTCCCATTTGTGAGACTCTTTCTTTCTCTTTTCACAAGCCTACACATGAGTACTGCTTATCTTTTACTTTCCTTTCACCTGCCTTCCGTGAAGGAAGTCCTCCATATGAAGCTCTCTAGAAGCTGTCTACCTCAAACACAATTCTACAAAGATGAGTTTTCAGGGGAAGCCTTGGCATGAATTACTTTTGTAGTTTTTGTCCATCAGTTACATTTTGACAAATCATTCAATCTGACCTGCAATAAGAGATTGTTTAAAGAGAAAGCACCTTCTGTTTCCCTAAGGTTCTGGGTTCTCTATATACACCTCAGTATAGATACTTATGCAAATCAATGTACTTTGATATATTCCTACCTGGAATCCTGCCTGGATGAATCCTACCAGGCATCCTGCCTGGATGCCGACCTGTGCGACCTGCTGTAGGGAACCTGCTTTGGCAGGGGGGTTGGACTCAATGATCTCTGGAGGTCCCTTCCAACCCCTACAATTCTGTGATTCTGTGATATACTTAAAGTGATTCAGCCCCAGCAGCGTCTTATCCTTTAAGTTTTCTTTGAATTACCCTTATGTCACATATTTCGCTCAGAAACAGAACTCAGGCTGCTGCTTGCATTATGAGGCATAACAAATAGCCACCCGTAAGATGGGAGATTTTACCCCTCCCTTGGTCCATTGCAAAAGGAAGGCAACATAACTGTAGAATCAGATACATCAAGTCAAGTATTGGAGGCAGCTGGTGGATGATATGTTGCTAGTGGGACCAAACTTGTCTTAGAACTTCTCTATTTATGGGTCACCTTTGAGACATCACTGAAGTTTTTTTGAGTGTATTTCATTCAAGACAGACTTACGGAGTTGAATTTGGTCTTCATACCTATACATATATACACACACATACACGATGTGAGACTATATATATTCTATACTACATATATAGTAAGCACACACTGCTTTGGTTGGCTGCTCTTCAGATTCAGGACACAAAAGTCAATGGTTTCATAATTCACCAACATTCCAGCCTTTCCAGCCTCTCAAACTATAATTGCTCTCTGTATTTTGTAAGAGCAGACTACAAGACCCACTGCCACTTAACAGTGCCTCATAACAGTGAGTACTGAAGTTGTACATTGCATTAAACTGCAAAATTGCAGCCAATAATGACGGCTGAAAGCCTATCTCTGACAAAAGCATAAATATTGCTCATTAAACATTATGGGAGAGGACTATAAAAATCTTGCCTGGTCTCTCATTCAAGCAGTAAACAGCACAGCCAAAGCACCTGCTCCAAACAGCTCTGTAAATCTCTCTGTAAGGTATGGCATCCAGCACTGAACAATTAATTTGTCATCATGTTTATCTAGATTTTGAGGAAGGAAAGAGGCTCCTGGTAAACCAGCCTAAATGTTTCTGGTGGTGCTCAGCTACCAGCACCCTGTCAGAGACCTCAACAATTCTGCACCCGACTGGGAATCACAGCTGCTTCCAGCAGTCAGCACTCCGGTAGGTAACATGATTCCCCCATCCTTTCCAAGGTAGATCACTTGCTAAAGTCAAGGAGAATTTGGCATCTGTACTGGCAGCCAGTTTGGCCCTTCAATATGAAGTGTCAGTATGCAACTTTTGTGCCACTTGCCAACAGGGATTTGCTTTTATGGGAGGTATCCCTACACAAAAAAAATCACTAAATCACGTTAACAGTTTTGTTGGTTATGTCGGTGAGAAATCTGTGTACAGACCATGCCAGAAGTTTAGAATTTTAAATACTCCTATTAGACGTTGTTAGTTGGCTAGGAATAAGTTACTATATTCAAAAGTCCCCCCACAAGATAAACCATTCTTCAGTAGTTGCTAAGCCAGTGAAATTGAAGGCAGCCAGCCTCCAGTTCAGCATGCACCTTCACAAGAGAGAGCGGATCTCCTATGCTGCTCAGCCTGCACTCCCCCCCCACCAGATGTGAGGCTTTTCAGGATGAGCATGAGATGCATGCATTCCTGATCAATCTTCCATTTGCAGACTTGTAAAAAGCCTTTAGCCATACATGGATTAATTATGCATCACACACTGCTTTTGCAATCAAGAAGTAATATCACAGTTTTCCTGCAGAAACACCTTCATTTTGATGCAGCCTTGTAGGTCAGCATCTTTTCCTATAGCTGTGTTGGTAATCTTGAGAGAAGAGAGTGAAGAAATAAACTTACTAGAAATGTTTCATAGATTTCATTTTCTTGCTACAAACTTATGTTTAAAATAATTAGGCTAAAAATACTGCTTAGGCACCTCACACAGGGCACCTAAATCTCTCATAAAAACATAAAAATGACCAAGTAGTAAGATGTACCAAGCTTCTCATATAGCTTCAATACTTTTGAAAATCAGGCCATTTAGGTAGCAAACAGACACATTTGGAATGGTTTGCCTTAATTAGGTCCCCGGCGTTACACAGATTATTAGAAAAATAACTAAAGAAGCATTTTCATTCAGCAGGCGAAACATAATGCAGTGTTAAACTATTAAGCATAATTTGCATGAGACGTGGTATGCACACACAACTGCCTCTGTTTGAACTTTACAGTCTTTCTGTATAATATACTAGTAATAATTTCCCCCTTGTAATACTCAGTAGGCTTCTACTGCTTTGAGGGATATTAGGTACCTCTTTTGTAGGTAAAATGACAACTGCAAATGAATGGTAAGATTGTGTAGCTGAGCGGATAAAATACTTTAAATCATGGCATTATGATAAAGACACCACTATAAAGGTTGTAAATCATTTTTCACTTTAAGGTCAGAGTCTATGATTCCACTAACATTTTTAGATAATTTAAGTGAGTTCATTCTGTTTTAAATGTATCACAGATCTATATCGGTATAAAGCTTTCTGTGCATGCAGAGACCAGGCTCCTATTCCTTAGTAAGGGAAGATGCAACACTCTGTCTGGGATTGCAACTCAGAAAATTCTTTAATTTGGCTCTGTCTTGAATCCATCCTGGATTCTTTCTCCTCCAGCTCAAGTGGTGCGCTCTCTTTTTGTTGTTGTTGTTGTTGGGTTTTTTTTTTTTTTTAATCATAGGGCCATCTTGCAGTGATAATGATCCTCATGACCTTAAGTATAAGGAGGAGGATACCTTACCTTAGATACCTATCTCATACGAGACTAGTGGATTGCAAATTTGGAAATTTTCATGGAATTTATATGGGAGAATTATGCAGGGACTTAATGGTATTGTAAAAGAAATATTTCTCAAAGGTATTGCTGTGCTATTAGGAGATCAGTCTTCTACAAGGCTATCTGTCTGCACTAGGAAAAATAAAGTCCATGTTAAAGACTACCTGAGCCATGCCAGTGGGCTGCATGGAGGAGCAGGCAGGGCTTGGTTTCTGTCATGGAAACCTGTTCTCACTGCTGCTGTGAAAGCAATATGAGTTTTTTTCAGTGTCTTAGCTCCGTAGAACCTGATGTTAGTTTTGTCTTGACAAATGCAACCTGAATGCTGTGATTTCCTCTGCATCATTAGGGAGGGATGACTTCAGGAAGGTGCTTTGACACGCTGGGAATTTTTCCAAGTCAACTTCTCACAGAAAAGAGTGAAAACAGCTAAAGCATTTCTCTTAGTGATGTCCTTGAGTCAAAGAGGAAGTTTTTCAGGGAAGTGCCTTGACTTCAGGAATTTCAGCATTACCTTCAGCTAAATCTAAAGGTTTGTGGCAGGAGCTCTATTCAGGTGGCCAAATTCTACTCCATACATGTATTTCTGCGAAGACTTGCATATCTTTCTCTTGAATTTAGAACTGTAGAATCATAGAACAATCCAGGAAGGGACATCAAAAGATTATTGGAAGAGTTGGTAGAGGAAGGTTGGAAGAGACCACCAAGACCATCTATTCCAACTGTCAGCCCATCCCATACTTACTAAGCCATGCCCCTAAGTGCCACACCTACATGTTCCTAGAACACCCCTGGGAATGGTGATTCCACCACCTCTCTGGGCAGCCTGTTTCAGCTCCTCACAACTCTTTCTGAGAAGAAATTTTTCCAAACACCCATCCTGAGCCTTCCCTGGAGCATCTTGAGGCCGTTCTCTCTCGTCCTATCACCAGTTATACGGGAGAGGAGGCCAACCCCCACCTTGCCACAAACTCCTTTCAGGCAGTTTGTGGAGAGTGATGAGGTTTCCCCTGAGCCTCCTATAGACAAAGCAATCCCAGCTCCCTCATAAGCACTTTCCCATAAGCCTTAAGTCCATAAGTGTTCCAGTCCTCTCACAGCTTTGTTGTCCATCTCTTGACACACTCCAGGGTCTCAATGTCTTTCTTGTAACAAGGGGCCCAAAACTGACCACTGCACTCAAGATGGAAAAAAAAAAAAAAAAAAAAAAAAAAAAAAACACAGTCCCCTGCTACCACAAGTCATGCCATTGAGTTACCTGCATCTGGAAAAATCACAGGACTCAGCACACCCAAAATGCAAGTAATGAGTGTCACTCTGCCTGATCATGGTGTGTCTACTGCCAGGTTAAATCAGCAGATCCAACCTTCGGTGAGAAAGGGAACTTAAATGACTCTGCACCTGGCACGATACATCTTGGGGGAAAGAAAATAAGAAATGTATTATGGCAAAGCGGAAGCTCTCCCGGAGCAACATGCAGCCAGTGCCCCTTGTTTTCACCATGAGGCTTCTTGCAAAGAGGCTGGAAGAGCTGCGGGGCTGAATTAAACCTCGGATTAACGCCGGCGCGCTTCGAGCTCCCCCTCCTGTCGCCGAGTCGGTGCCGAGCCGAGCCCGAGTCCGTTCAGCTCGGCTTGGCACCAGCTAGGCACAGGAGCTTTCCAGAGTTTGGGAGAAGATAGGGGTGTTGAGAACCAAGGAAGGAGGCTGTGGAGGGAAGCTCGCTCTTAGAGCTGAAGTCATTCGTTAAAGGTGAGCACAGGGTAAAATGAGTCAAGAAGCTGCTCATTGCAGGCTGAAGGTGGGAGGGAAGAATTTAATACGCTGCTTGTGGGCATTCACCAAAGCCTGAGCACAAGTCTGAGAGAGAACAACGTGTGTTTGTGCTGCCTGCAGCCCAGCCAGGGAATTCCATCACAGCACGGGTACAGCAGGTGGGAGTTTCCCATAAAAAAATCCCACCTCAGTCCCCATCTCTAAAATCCAACAAGGACATCCAGGGCCACGAAGAATGTGGGGCTGCCAGAGCATAGTACAAAACCCACTTGTCCCTTCCCAGATCAGGACACCCGGTGGGACAGGTTAGAAGTACCATCAAGGAGCACTCACCATGGAGCAGCCCCTTCCTCTGAGTCAGAACTCTGAGCCTGTTGGTTTCCGTCAGATGCTTGTGTTACTGTTACGGTATCTAAAAACAAAGCGGAGTTTTAATCTTAGAAACAAGAGATGGGGAAACCTTCCAGCTGTGAAAGGTTTGACTCAAATGGCAAAAAAAGCACCCGGTTGTTCCCAGGCAGCCTCAGAAACCAGAGAAAGCAGAATCCCCACTTCCCAGCCACCTCCTTCGCCTTGGCATCAGGCTCCTCTCCCGAAATGCGAGTGGGTGGAGGTGTACTCACAGGCTGCAGGGAGTTCCTGAGCCGGCAGGCTGCCAGCTTCTGGTTTTCTTAACTGTTGCTTCCACTGTCAGCCGCCGAGATTGTAACAGTGGCATTTTTAATAAGGTGAGGGCAAAAATTAAAAAGAGGCCATCAGATCAGGCAGCAGCCCTGGGACAATTTGTAAGTTGCGGTTAAGAGAGAGAGATACAGAAGATTTGCCGAGTTCAAAGGTCTTCATTATTAACGTTCCAGTAGCTGACTTGATAGATGGTCTCTAGCCTGTGTCCTCTTATCCCTTCCACTTTCCTTCCTAAAGACAAATGCTTAAGACAAATCCCTAGATGGAGGGATAGGATCTGTAATAGATTATTTCTTATTACATAGAAATTGGTTAATAATTTACTAATCCAATTTCACTGTTTCGCCCCCCACTTCAATTAATCTTTAGAATATAAAATAAATGCTGTTCTTCGTTCTTCCAATGCTAATGAAGAAAGGAACTAATGAGGAGACCTGACCTTGGTACCTTTTGAAAGATGATGTAGCTGCATAGGAGTTAATTTTCTTTTTTTCTCTCCTTTTATTTACTTGTTCTCCTTGAATGCAAAATCCACCCATAAAACAGCAAGCTGTACAAGATGGTTATGAGCCTGATTTCAAGCATGTCACACAAGTCTTGCTTTAGCAAAATTCCATCTCCTGCAGAGTGTTACAAAATCATGCATATCTACACTCTTCCACTCTGGAGATAAATATTTTATACGAACACTTTATACAAAGTCAAAGTCAAATAAAACAAGATATGAGAACTTTTACACAGTGTCTCAAACTGCTGTCCACCACTCTGGAACAGCACTTTAAGATTTGGCAGATGTAGAGAGTGATTTATTTCTAACAAATTCAGTCTGTGGCTCTGTGGCCATAATGCATTTCAAAGAGATTTTTTTAATT